ATAAGTATAATTTATATTAAATATATCTTTTCTCCTATATAAGATAAACTGTACAGAAAATATTTTCTAAAACATTTTATTATATAACTGAATTCGCGCAAATTTGAAATCTCGCTTTCTTTCAATCTTACTGTGCCGATTCACACCTTTCCATGCTCTCTTAGTTTAACATTTTTTATTGTGGCAGCATTGAGAAGTTTCCAAACAACAATCAATGCACGAAGCATGATTAAATATGCACAGATTTCAATATGCCAAAGAGGTCGCATTGTGTTGCCACTGTTTACTCCCAGATGAAGTATTTAACTGTGAATGCAATGTACTAGGAGTAGAAGACGGTTGAAGAGGTGGAGCTGGTGCTTGTTGCTTTGCTGCTGTAATGTTTGAAACATCACAATTATTTTCTGTTTGTAATGGAATGCGTTTGTACGGACTTACAAATTTCATGTACATATGTACATCCTTAAAAATACAATTAGTAAATACAACATGCAGTTTATGTATATTTGCCTGGTTAAACAAAAGAGTTGTTTGTGTCATACGTGTTTAGTGTCTTCATTGTATATTTGCTGGAAAATAGAGAAGCAGCGTCGGCAGAAGTTAGTTATTTTGATGAAAGAAACCTTAAGAAAAATAATGTTAGGAAAAAAAGAAAATTGCAATTTGCGCAACGTATCATATAATAAATATAAATAATCTCGCATACAGGATTAATAAATTATAATTTATTAAATTATAAATAATTATAATTTATAAATTATAATTGCAGCATGCATATAATGGGAATATGATTAAAGGATTTGGGTTTATTATGTGCGACATTGTTCAAAGCGCTGTGCTTTAATTTTAGAAAGATATAATCCTTCATCACATTTCAAGCCTTTTAGATGCTCTATAATAATAAATTAAAGAATGTTTTTTGCCGATCGTTCTTACCGTTCCTGCTACTATAAACCTTGGTAAAGCCCTTGAATGATTCTGGCGACGGGAAATTCGATGCGGGATGAAACATTTCCGCGAATCGTACCTCCAGGTCGACAGAATTCGCTGCTTGAGCACCGCCACCATTACGTACCGACAAACTTCTGGTTGGAGGTGTCGGCGGCGGTGGTGGTGGTGGTGCCAATCTCTGATGCATAGGTGCAGGACGATGAGGAAGTGGCGGTGGTGGTGGCGGTATACATGGTGCGGTGACTGTAACTCTTGACGGTGGCGGCGGCGCCGCTCTCATGACAGTCACAGGCATTGTATGTGATCGCGAAGTTGGTGGTGCTGATGGTGCTGGTGGTGATGGTGGTCTTGTTGTAGGCATGGTCACCCGCGAAGTCGGCGGTGATGGTGGTCTTGTCACGGGAGGCCTGAGAATTCGATTTGCGAGTCTCATGGGCTGCGGCGTGGTAGCCTCATTTAGACAATCCTGCGACTGATGTAAAGAAAATGGCGTCGGCAGAGACGACAAAACCGGCGGCGATCGTGGCAGTCGCATGCTCTGAGCTCTCGCCACACTCGCGCTATTCGTCAGATTCAGTTTTTTAGGCGGCGGCGACGGTTTCTGGAGCGTAGCAGACGCCACCGGTTTAGGCACGATGGTTGACTTCGCGAATCCTCTAGGCATAACTTCGGGATTGTTCGTTACGGAATCGGTAGTACTTTGCCCCTGCTTGAGATTAACCATCTTATAAACATATGCACAATATACAATTAAGTAGCTGATTAACCAATTCTTTTTCTACCTGACTGAATATTTGTGGCTTCTGCGCGGCTGGTGGCGGGACTGGCGGTGGACCACGCTTTATACTGTGAGACGATCCGGGTGACGAGTGAAGAAAACTAGAATTATTTACATTTTGTCCCTCCTTCTCAGTCATATTCCCTCTCAATCCTGTAGGTTTTAACTTTGGCATCCCACCCGCAAATAAACCACCCAATTGCAGGGGTCCACCATTGCTAGAATTATTACTGTTGCTCGCTGCATTAGAACTATTATTAGTCCTATTATTGCTATTATTTAATAAAGGATTTGTTGACTCGCCTTTTACTCTCCCTATAAAACAAATATATGTGTTATTATTCTTTCTTCTAACTTTTTACAATAATTGATATATGTGAATTTAGTTTGATTTACCAGCAATAGCAGGCGCGCTCTTATCCACAGTAACAGTCTTCTTCAAAGTTTTGCCTGCCCTTATAGACTGCAGTAATAAGTTTCTGTTATCTCCCACTGACGGGCCAGTAGAAGCTCCGGCCTGCGGAGGCGGTGGCGGAGGTGGCACAGACATTCTCGCTATCCTCCTGTGCAAAGAGCAATCATAAAGATGTCACACTGGATTCAAATTGACATATAGAAGAGAAAAAGACACATATTAAATAAACATTCCTCAATACGATAAATACATCTACGGGATCTATCTCTAATTTGACGGCCATTATTTACGATTTACGATTTCGGTTTGTTCCACCGAGATGTGTCATTCGCTGGGAGGGAGGGCCGAGGGAGGGAGGGGGAATCGCCCGTTTCCGTTTTCGCGCAGGTGGAGAAGATCCAGGAGTCAATGGGGCCTCCCCCCCGGGGGGTCGCGGGGACCGGTGTGCGGACCCTCGCCGTTGAAATCCCTTGGGGTCCACGGGTTCTCAAGTTGAGCCCCGCAGCGCGATGTTCGCGATGTTCGCGACGGTTCGCGCACGCACACCTCGGAAGAAGAAGCGAAATCCTCTTCACGCGGGCACACCTCGAAGGTCGCTTTGTATGTTTTTTTTATCTCTATCACCGCTCTACGCGACGTTGTCGAATGGGCACACACGCGATCTGCGAACGGGCACGTTTACGGGATACGAACGATTACCGGATTAAACGGCGGTCGCTGATGCGTTCACGTCCGGAGGAAGGATCCGCGGCCGATGACACTCATGATTAAAAAAAGGGGCCTGGCTGGCTGGATCCGCGCCTACACGATCCGAGGCTGTGCGACACAGCGACGTAGATCATGGCGTCATCAAAGATCTATCTATTGAGGTTGGGGGTCCGTCCGTCATTCGATACTACCGACCACCGCCGTGAACGGTCGTGAATATCGCGATCTGGGCGTATCGCGTGGCCTGTTCTCGATCACTCGCGTCTCGATCGCGCGAGAGCGATCAGCGAAGGGTGTCGGGGAAACTTGTCTGGTAATAAGCGCCCCGCGTGAGGCAAGACGCGTTCAAAAGCGTACACGTCACCGATAACGTCATCGGGCGCGAAATGTGTAAGATAAACGTGAGATAATAAATAATTTATTGACATATTTCTCAGAGAGAGGAAGAAAAAGAGAAGAGTAAAAAATAGAAAAGCATGCGTTCCATTTTTTTATTTCACGTTAATTTCTTCATTTTCCCATATGTACAACATTTTCGCAAAAATTTTACAAAGTCATCAGAATATTCTTCAAAATTACTATTAACAATGAAAATTTTACTCCGGCGTTGCCGACATTTTTGCCGCAGTTGATTGAAATCGATCGTAAAGATTTAAAGTGCCTTTTCGGAGCACGATGTTCATTTTTAGAATCAAAATAGGTCACGTGATTAAAATTTTGGTTCGACAATGAAAGATGCATGAAAAAGATATAGCGTTGCGAATTTTGAGTTACAATATCAATCCTGCAATAGTACATCACAATTATAAATCATGTTGATTAGAAATATTACATATAATTAAAAGAATATAATATTTTTAAAGAGAGAAAGAGAAAAAATAAAACTACTTTTCGAAAGTTATAAAATATATAGAACATAGCATCATCTCAACACGAAATAATACTTTCGTTCAAATTAATAAAAAATTATATATATATATATTCTGCATATTTATCTTAATTTTTTATATATTACTTTTTAAAATTATGAAAAAATGGATAGATACGAGGTGTACATACTGGGGTGTATTCAAAAATAACAGATATCATTTTATCCTTGTTTAGTATTCGATGAACAACAAGGATAACCTGATACATCCGGTATTTCTGAATCCAGCCTTGTGGTGATACTGTGTATGCAAAAGTCTATGGCGGAAACGTTCATTTCCGCTCAATATTCTCGTGTTCCATGAAAAAAGGATAGCTGTGAAACTTAACCTTTTCCTACCTTTTTCGTTTAGGACACGTAAGGAGGCAGTACGTATCATGTAAAGAATCTGTATTTTTCAGATAATCTTCAACGAAACGAGTATAGGATGAGAACTGGTTAATCATAAACAATTCACCGAGATCTAAAAAGTGCAATTATTTTTAGGCATGAAGTAAGGTAACGATGTGACTGATTCAATTTGCTATCTATTATTTCAGGGATAGCCGATACAATTCACAATGTCTATCCGACCGGTTTATCGACCTAAGATCGTGAAGAAGAGGACGAAGAAGTTTATTAGGCATCAAAGCGATAGATATGACAAACTCAAAGTAAGTATATCCTTTGTTTTCTTTAATCTTAAACATGTTTGTAAAGTTAGGTTATGCCGTCTGCACTGTGTGTATACTTAATATAATTTATTTGAGAATATTTTTAATTATTATTCTATTTGTACATTGTAATTTTATTTAACATTACTTTATTACTTATTTATTTTAATTATTTAATGATTATTAATTTCTGAAAGTTTGATCTTTTGAATTAACCATGAAAAAATATTAAAAAAATATTACATAGATTTTGTGTACGTTTTACAGCGCAACTGGCGTAAACCGAAAGGTATTGATAATAGAGTCCGCAGACGTTTCAAGGGCCAATACTTGATGCCCAGCATTGGTTATGGTAGCAATAAAAAAACACGTCACATGCTACCAACTGGCTTCCGTAAAGTTCTTGTACATAATGTTAAGGTAAGCATTGCTTTTATATCAACTCATTTTTTAATTAATAAATTCAATGACAAGTAATTCAGTAACCAGTTACAATTTTAAATGACAACTTTTTCTTATGAAAACATCTCGAAACATATCTTTCTATTAATAAACTGAAATGTATAAATAGCATTGCTAAATTATCAACCCATAGAAAAGTATATTATCTGAATCTTCTAATGTTACATACTCAACTTATTAATAAGATATGAATGAAGAAATCAACAAATTCTTTACAGGAACTCGAAGTTTTAATGATGCAGAACCGCAAGTTTTGTGCAGAGATTGCACATGCAGTTAGCAGCAAGAAAAGAAAAGCTATTGTCGAGCGTGCCCAACAACTTTCAATACGTGTGACAAATGCCAGTGCACGTTTGCGTTCGGAAGAGAACGAGTAAGCATTACTTTTCGTGTATTTTGGCAATAAAATATTAAAAACATAAATCTCTTGTTCTGTCTCTTACAACCTCTTAGTATAAGTAATAGTATCTTTAATTTTTCTGTACAGATATTCTCGAAACTGACAAAAATATTAAAATCTCTGCCTGATTAATTAAATTTTTTAATTTGGCAAAATTTCTTATGTCTTATAAATTACACAAATTACGAATAGTAATGCATAATAAATTAGCTTAACTCTATACATGTAAAAAAAAACGGATAAAAGAAATCTAGGTATTTAGTGCGATAGTTCGCACATTTTTTTTTTCTTTTCCTTTCTCCGGGCTAAGATTAATATAATCCTTATATTTCTTAAGAAGTTATTAATTTCTACATGTTTCCATTATTTTATATCTTCAATCTACATTATCCTGAAAAATTAGTTTTACATATCCTGGCGTTCCCTCGAGCGGCACTGCACAGAAGGGACAGATCGCGATATAGCCATTTGTGCCATGTGGAATGGCTACTTTTTCCCAATATCTACAGCAGAAAAATAGCAAATGAGAAAATCATGGAAAGATGAGTAATATAACGTTTGAAATATAATTATGAGAGAAAATGAGATTTAAAGATGAAAAATCAGCGGATTACTAACTTGACAGTTTTCTCCGTAGCCATATGTCCACATGGACTAAATGCGTAAGTGGGCGGTCCGCAATCTACATAGAAGGCAGGCTCTATCCCCATAGATAGTTTGACTACCGCTCCTGCAACCAGGCACATGGGACATCTTCTCGTAACCTTATCTTTTTCCTGGCCCCAATCGTGATGCCCTTGTACATGTCCGCACTTAAGGTAAACGTATGGCTGCTGCTGCGTCGAATCCGAAGCTGCTTTGCGTGGTATGACCAACGTGTTCAGGCCCACAGGACACTGCGGTCTGCCAGCATTTATAGCATCAACTAATTCCTCTAAATCCTGTTTTGTCTATGAAAAAAAAAACCGCAACTTACGATCAGTTAATATAAACTGTGCAACATATAATTTAAAAAATCTTTTAAAATAGGAAATACGTTACCGGAGATTTCGCGAGGCCTTCGGCCGATCGCCAGAGCAAAGTAGCACCGCACAGATCAATGAGAGTACCATCTTGCAGAATGTTACTTTCATCCTCCACGACATTGCCCTTCTGCTGAGCGCTCCTGCTTTCTCTGAGCGAGAAAACTCCGCCACCCACACTGACTTCCCGCCAGAAACCACACTGAGCCTCGCCACCGCAGAATTGACCTCGCGGATGCATTATCAGGACTCCATTTGTCGTAAGTCCATCAATCTCGCGATTTTCCTGCCATTTAGTTGCCTTTTCCTGTATAAAATCATTCATAAAGTTTCCATCTTTCTTTAATTACAAGCTAGATGCAGGGTTGCGAAAGTTACTTTTTAAAAGTAATTCATTATCGTTACCAGTCCGTGTACAAAAAAATAACGTGTTATTTTCCAACCCTAGTTAGCACAATAGATTCATAGATTTCGAATCTTACACCCAAAAAAATGTTCCTCGAACTATCGAAGCCTGCGGCATAAATTCTGGCGATTCTGGGGTCCGATCGATCCGCCAGGATCCGACAAGCAAACCTGCTGATGGTGCTCTGAGCGACGCGTCCTTCATTAGCAGCTCCTCCATCGCTACTGCCCGCACACGTGTCCATCACTACGAAATCGATAGGCGACTCGGACGAACGACCAATCTACGAAGCAAACGTTTGCTTAAATTTACTTAATAAATAAAGAAATGACTTTCAGTCCATGAAATGGAATATTTCGAGTTTACCTGAAACATATCTGTTTTTTCATCCTCCGTGTATTCAACGATAACGGCCTGTGTTCTAGAGAGTGTGTACGAAATCGAGTGCTGCTTTGTGTTGAGGATGGCTTGTGAACTGTGAGGCGTTTTAACGATATAATGTTTGCTACGTTTAACGCCATTTGGCACGGGTCTTTTGTATAATACGAATTTACTTCTTCTTCGTCCTCTATCGCCAGGCGGAAGGTAACCATTGTATCTGCGAAAATCGTCAAGAAAGATTCGTCAGTCGTTAAAAAGTTTACTTTCCTTTATCTTTATCTGTTTTAGTTGCTGGGAATCCTTACCCAAGTATAACTAGTTCACCGTATTTCACTAATTGTTTGGGCTTTTCATGATGATAACTGTGAGATCGGTGTGGATTACCATGTGAATGGCTGTGACTGTGTATGTTGCGTGGACTGTGAGGTGCACCGACTGTCTCACCTTCTTCCACGAGCAACGGACTCTCGCTACTACCGCCGTCCGATCTAGTATAAAACACACGGTACAATAAACCGTTCGTATATATAAGTAGATAGATAACTACTGCGATATATATTTGTTAGTTCTTCGTAAAACAGATCTAATTTAACACAGAAGAACCAATTACATAGTAGTAGTACTATAGATTTTATGAATATTAAGCCCATAAAGCAATGAGAACTTCCTCATCTTATTAAAATTTTTGCAGGAAAGGAAGATAAATCTTTGTAAAAACAATGCAGTCATAACAGCCCTAGTTAGGAGATCATAAGAGTAAAATGGAGGATGAATATATAATCGTGAATATACGTATTGCGTTAAACTCTACAAATTGTACTCTATTTCCCGGATGTTTCGCTAATCTTGCATAAATGTAGCTTCCACCAAGGAAAAGGAAATTTCATTGGAGATCAAAACAGGATTAATGTTAATAATGGAAATGCTGAACGGAAGGATGTCTGTAACTGGAAATAATTTCTGATCCCAAAAGCAAAAGGATATATCAGATATATATATAAGACTGTACAGCGAAATAATTTCAGTGGTTTTAGATCGAGCGAGGTAACTTACTATTGTTAATATATTGGCACCAGAACCAGCAAACTCATCAGATCAGATCACGGACGAATTTTTTGGTACGATCGAAAAAAGCTGTATTTTACATTTCGTTTAAAGATAGCAGCAAGGAATCTCGCCGAATTGACCGATTTTACGAGCAGAATAAACTTGATACATCACCTTGTCGCGCGCGAATTCTATATTCTGTACACAGTCCAATCTGTCCCGTTTACTTTACTCTACAAGGTAATTCTTTACAAAAGCACGCTTATTTTTGTTTTTGAGTTTCGTAGAAACATGACGGCGCGCTTCGTGTTTTCTTACAAACAGTACGCTCTATAAGAAAATCCAAATCGCATCTGAACACAAGCCGTACGTGACAGAAAAGATAGTTTCAGTGGCTTACATTACGTAATATGTAAACCGTAGGCTTACTTACCGCGAAGGGTATGGAATGCGTTTAGTTACTGGCATCCTCCTTTTCAGTGGGATTTATAGATTATTCCACATGGTACTTGAAAGGGTAAGGACGGGCAGTCTTAAGGATCTTCACGCGGTTGCAGACAAATCTGAGCAATTGCGTTTGCACGCGGCAAGCTGCGAATTGGTAATTATGATCTGCAATGAGAAACATTCAATATAAAGATCATAATTAACTGAAAACTATTCTTTTTCCTATCCGTTCGTACAAGTGAGCCGCCGATGCAACTTTTACGTAACAAAATTTTCCACATTTGCGAGAGCGCGCGCGTGGTTTTGCCCGTCTTTACTTTATAATCGCGTTACTGTTAACAAAGAGGATCTTTCCTCCGTGCTTCAATTCTCTCGGCTCTCGCATCGCCTTTTCTATAATTTTCAAGTCAGATATGCTTCCGCGCGCAAACAGGTCTAGAAATTAAATTAATGTCAAAAGCCTTCTCGGATGATGTTGCCATTTTGCGCATGTCTCTCGTTTATGTTTATGTCTGAATTTAATGTGGATTATATGTGGACATGCCTATCGAATTATCCTCAAATTTTCTCTACAAATTCCTACACACAAATGGGCTATTACGACTGCTGCCTATAATAATTTAATTTGTATGTATTATGAAAACGCTACGCGCGACATACATAGCTTCAAAATAAACTTCAATAACAATTGGTGAAATTGTAAGAATGTCAAGCTTCTTTTCATACAACACTTTAGCAAGTATTTATTACCATGCTGCTAGAGATGTTTACATAAAAAAGCTTACTTGAAAATTTCGACAAATGTAATTGCACATTAATTGCACATATAAAATAACTAAAGATTACACGGAACGTCAATTATTACTTTTACAATGCTTAAATTGAAACAATCGGTTGAAATTGTTCTTACAAAAGATACGACCCCATTAATTTATCTAATTAATTTGCAGAGATAGCGATTTTAAATGGAAATGTCTCATGCATTATCTTCACAATAGGCTCGGTACAGCTTGAAAGAATTAAAGTCATGCACAAGGTAACTTTCGGTTTCAACAATAGCGGACAATTATAGCGCTTGTGTACGAGTCATCACGAGAAACGAGTGTCAGATATTCAAAACACGCTTATCGCGCACAGAATAAACACGGGGAGCTTTCGCAACCACTTGGACAATGCCGTATCAAGTGATTGCTGACGATGATCTCGAGGATTTATATTTTGCTTGTCATATGCAATCTGGAATGACTCTCATTGATAGCCGCACTATCCGAGAGCTCTCGACGGGATCTCCTCGCGATCTTCTTACCGTCAGACAACAAAACCGGTATGTAATCTTATCGAGACTTCTTTGCGTGATACGAAAAATGAGGAAATGATACTCGTTTGTCTTTCGGAAATCTCGCAAAATTCTTCCTTACGTATCCACGTCTGAAAATTGGGATTCCTATGTACGAGCGCGCGACAAACTCTCTGTTCTCTTTCCTGCGCTGTCAAAGCGGAGCAGACACGAGTACTGTTCTCGCGGAAGAAGAGAAAGGCAAGGTCGCGTGAAAGGAAGAAAAGTGCGCGATGAGCGTGACCGGGAGAGGACAGCTTTCAAAATATTTGGTGAAACAGCTAGCGAAATCGACGTTCCGGACGTTGTTATTCGCACGCGTTCTTCACCTTCTCGCGTGATCTTCCGTGATGATCGCACAGGTGGAAGCCAGGGTGGATAGTAGCGTTGGTCGAGGGTGAGAAGAGAAGGAAAGCGAACCCCATGCACCGAGCCGATATATCACTGCATCAGTCCTCGTCTCGGGAAAGATAACGTTACTGCGACGCGGCAAGGAGACCAAAGGAGACCTCTACGAATGTGTCCTGTATTTGATAAATACCTGACGCACACACAACGGCACGCACACACGACAGTATGGTACACGTGTGTGTGTGTGTGTGTGTGTGTGTGTGTGTGTATGCGTGCGGCGCGTGTGCGCGCGCGCGCGCGTGTGATATTTATATACATGTGTGTGTATGTATGTATGTATGCATATGCAACGACGTAGTATCGGTTGCAGAGATAGGGAAATCGTACGGTGCACTGCGGCACGTCTCTATCGGCATAACACAATTGTCGTGCAGACTATCGACCGCGCGGGGAGAGGGTGCTCCCTCCTTGTCCCTTCGTTCCATCACATTCATTCTTTCTTCTTCTTCTTCTTCTCTCTCTCTCTCTCTCTTTTCTCTCTCACTCTTTCGCTCTCCCCCTCTCCGTCAACCTTTCAATTTTGGGAATGACTACAAAGATAAATGGCAGGTCATTTACCGTATCACCATTGTGGCAGTGTCCGCATTCGAGCAAGTCCGCTGTGATTTCCGGCAACGACGAGCGAGATGAGAAAGAATGTCCCTCCCTGCTGCCTCTTCTGCGAACGTCCGATCTCTTGAGTCGAAAGACTCAATGGAACTCCTCCACTTTCGTCACACCCCCCTTTTTCTTCCCCGATGCAAACACTGATATGTACGTTGAAGGAGCGCCCGCTGTCTTCGGTTACTTCTCCATCCTTCTCGGATTGTCGCGATCAGTCGTGTTTATTACGAGTGCTAACGACGATAGTGACGATGATGATGACGATGACGATGACGATGACAATGACAACGACAACGACAACAACGACAACAACAACAACAACAATGATGACGACGACGATGATGATGATGATGATGATGATGATGATGATGATGATGATGATGATGATGACGATGACCCTCGGATAGGACGACGACCCATGATCGCGCGTGTTACGCGAGTGTCATATTGATTACCAACATCGAATCTCCGTCTCCTAACGGCCTTTCCGTGTTCGTCTTTCGTTTCCGCGACGCACTTCACTCCCCTTGTCCGATTGTCGCTTGCTACACGCGTCTGTTTTGCACGTCGCAGGACGAAACGGCGACGACGAGCTCGCGAGGTGGTGGCTCCTGCGTCTTCGCGGAGCTCTGTTTTCGTTGCGAAGCACGCACATACACGCGCGTGCACGCACACACACGCGCATGCACGCACGCACGCACGTACGCGACTTTCGACGACGTAACGTCGACGGGAGTCGCGACAGAAGCGGATCTTCTCGTGTCACGCGCACGCGCGAGATCACTGACGCGATGCTCGATTCTTTTCAAGGACGGTGAGAAAATCGGATCAGCACGAACCAATCTCGCCCGTTATGTTCGTGTTCGGCGCGATGCCATGTTGCTGTGATCGGCTAGGCGACAGCGCGACACGCGATTGGTTGACCTGTATTTGACACTAGAGACTCCCAGTGCCAAGTAAATGTTTCTAGGAAACAAAATTTCTATTGGACGCGACATATTCGTCGTTGTGTTCTCCTGCATCTATCATCGCATTTGTTGTTTCGATGCTTGATTTTTACTCGGACGACCTGTATGTACATGACGGGGTTAGAATTCGATGCGTATGAAGTTTAGTGGCTACGCAACTCGGAAATTAAGGGAAACGCAATAAGTGCCGAAATAATCGCAAATTCGAGACTCCTCGAGATCGTTGGTGGTTTTTGTGTTACGAAATATGAGTCGTAGAAGAGTACATGAAGAGGATGATGGCTATGGTAAGTAGCGCTCCAAAGTTATCGCCCTTTTGACGGCGCGAATCGACATCAGATTGTCTAGGATGTCAAATAGAAAATTGTATTGCTATTAATATAAAATGTTTCCTTTTATTTCTATATATAAGCTTTAAATTATATTAAAGTTAATTTATTATGTAATATTTAATCTTTTGATTTTATATATTACATGCATGCGTTGACATACATCAAATCTTTTTAGATAATAAAAATCTTACTATTAAATTTTAGTAATTTGTGATGTGACTGTATATAAGATATTATTTGTCATATATATTGCCTAAAAAAATCTGGAAAAATAGATTTAGAAATTAAGAAAGTAATGTTTATATATATATATATATATATATATATATATATATATATATATATATATATATATATTTTTTTATATACTTTATATTTATATATTTTTTTAGATCGAGTATATAAGAAACGTAGGAGGGTATCAGAAAATCAAGAGATTGAAGATCGCCTTGAATCTCTCATTCTTCGCGTCGGAGAAAAATCAACTTCATCTCTGGAAAGTAATTTGGAAGGTTTGGCTTCTGTATTAGAAGCTGACCTGGGTCTATTCCGCAGCAAAATACTTCGAATTTTAACTGATTGTGCTATTAAAATGCCAGAGAAATGTACTATTTATACTACTCTTGTTGGATTATTAAATGCAAAAAATTTCAATTTTGGAGGAGAATTTGTTGATTATATGGTGAAAAATTTCAAAGATTCCTTAAAAGCATGCAAATGGGATGTGGCTAGGTATTCTCTTAGATTCCTAGCTGATTTGGTAAATTGTCATGTTTTATCATGTGGATCATTAATGCAATTATTTGACAATATGCTGGATGCTGCAAATGAAGATGGTGTGCCGCAAGTAAGACGTGACTGGTATGAGAAGTTTTTATTTATATAAAAATATTTTTATTATATGAATTATATAGAATAAAATGAATAATTATGAATAATTTACAGGTATGTTTATGCTGTCTTATCAACATTACCATGGGTCGGGAGAGAATTATATGAGAAAAAGGAACAAGAATTGGATCATTTAATGGTTACAATAGAGATATTTTTGAATAAACGAAACAAGAAACACCAACCAGCATTGAGAGTATGGTCAAGTGACACGCCACATCCACAAGAAGAATATTTAGATTGTTTGTGGGCACAAGTTCGAAAATTAAGACAAGATAATTGGGCCGAGAAACATATTCCACGACCATATCTTGCATTTGATTCAATATTGTGTGAAGCATTACAACATAATCTACCCCCTTTGATGCCGCCTCCACATCATGAATCTTATTCTTATCCATTACCCACTGTTGTCTTTCGTATGTTTGATTATACAGATTGTCCTGCTGAAGGACCATTATTACCAGGAAGTCATGCTATCGAGAGATTTTTAATAGAAGAGCATTTACGGCAAATCATTAATAATTATTATTTCGAGAGGAAAGATTGGTAATACATTAAAAAATTTATATTTTTTTAATCAAATAGCATTTTATGTAATAATAAAAGCATGATTATTATCCCTAAATTATATGTAGTAAACTATATTTTTGTTTTACAGTGCTGCACAACTGTTAAACTTCCCATTCAAAGCCAAAATTCCTTTAGACTATTGTATTGTTGAAGTAATATTCGGCGAATTGTTTAGACTGCCCACTCCAAAACATTTAGAGATTTGTTACGGATCAATTTTAATAGAACTTTGCAAATTGCAGCCTTCAACTATGCCACAGGTTACAAGTTATATAAATTACTTTGAAATTTAATATTATTTATGTAATTATAGTGAAGTTTTAGAAAAAAATAATGTTTAAATTATATTACATATAGGTACTAGCGCAAGCAACAGAAATCCTATTTCGTCGTATAGATAGTATGGCAGCTACCGCTTTCGATCGTTTTGTTTGGTGGTTTGCATATCATTTGAGTAACTTTCAATTTCGTTGGTCATGGGAAGATTGGGATTCTTGTTTGCAACGCGATTCAGAACATCCAAGACCAAAATTTATACGGGAGGTTCTGTTGAAGGCATTGAGGTATATTCTCAAATTTCCTGTAAAATATAATAGTTTTATCTTACTATTATATACATAATTATATTATAAGATTGTAAATTTAGGTTCTAATTATTAACATATAAATATGAAATCATACACAATTTTATATTTTTAGATTATCATATTATCAAAGAATTCGAGATATGATGCCAGACTCGTATGTAGATTTGATTCCAGCAGTTCCTGAGCCTGTATATAAATATTCATCTGAAGGCGCTAGTAAGTATATAATGAAATAAAAACTTAATATTATATTTTTAAGATTTAAATATTTTCTCGTAATTTGAATTGCAAATGAAATTAATAAATTATTTTAGGTTCACTCCCTGGTACAGCTGCAGCTCATGAATTGGTAGTTTCTATAAGACGTAAATGCACACCAGAAGAAGTATTAAATGTATTAAATACACTGCCTGGTCCTAGAGAAAACGAAGAGACGAATAATTACAATCCGTTAAAGATTGACGTCTTTGTACAAACTTTATTGAATCTTGGTTCGAAAAGTTTCAGTCACAGTTTTGCGGCTATAGTAAAATTTCATTACGTTTTCAAGGTAAATTAATATTGTTATACAACATACGTACAGATGCAACATTTTTTTCTATAATTGATTTATAACACAGGTACTCGCTGAGACTGAAGAAGCACAAATATGTATTTTAAGAAACATGTACGCGTTATGGAAGAATCATTATCAAATGATGGTGGTATTAACGGACAAGTTTTTGAAAACTGGTATAATTGAATGTAGTGCTATCGCCAACTGGATATTTTCCAAAGAGATGGCATCGGAATTTACAAAGTTAGTTTCACTGTTATAATGTTGGATAAAATATTGATCTATCTTATTCGAATATTAAAACATTTCAAAACATATTGGAGAATGATAGTATAAAAAAATTTCCGTTTTCAGATTATACATTTGGGAAATACTGCATTTGACGATACGTAAAATGAACAAGCACGTAACAAAATTAAGCACAGAATTAACAGAGGCGAGAGAAAAACTGAGGAGAGCAGAAAGTAGATCAGGCTCTTCTTCAGACGAGGAGGATAATAATAAAGAGAGAAACAGGGAGAGGCCATCGGAGGATGTGGTAGAACGAATGGAGGAAAAGCTGGAAGCTGCGCAAGCAGATCAGAAAAATTTATTTCTCATTATATTTCAGGTATTAAAATGTATCATTTATTAATTGAAAGTAAATAGTGAGATCTATATCATGAATTTCTAAAATATATTTTATATAAAACTTTTGTATCGTTAGAATAAATAGAATAATAGTACATTTTCTTTTTTTAGCGTTTTATAATGATCCTATCGGAGCATTTAGTACGCTGCGACACAGACGGAATTGACTATAACACACATTGGTATAAATGGACTGTAGGAAGATTGCAACAAGTTTTCTTATCTGTAAGTTAGATTGCTTTTTACTTAATAATATTTAACATTTATGAAAAAGATATATATAAATTTATTGTAATTACTAGATGTTTATTTATATCTGTTTTATAGCATCAAGAACAAGTACAAAAATATTCGTCGACACTGGAGACCTTGCTTTTTACTCCGGACTTGGATCCTCATATTTTAGACGTATTCCATCAATTTGTTTCTCTACGAGCATAAAAAAAAATTATATATAATGTATTCATATTGAAGTACATTTGAGTTAGTCAACTAGACTACATCAAACTACATTTAAATTTATAAATTAAGTTACAATAAAATACATTTTTGAAATTTTGATTTATGTCGTTTGTAATCATATTTTTTTATATTTTTGATTTTGTTTTATCAGTTGGAAGCTGTAGCTGTAGCTGATTTTCATATTCTTAAAGTTTTTAAGTAGTATTACACATTTTTAAGTTCGCTATTTCGAACGGAGCGCTCCCCGTTTAACTGCATTGCAATTGAATACGTCCACTGACATCGGCCGATGTTTAGGAATTTTCCACCTATCAAAAGATTTAATATTTAATCGATTAACATGGGCAATCAAGCGCCATTCGTCAAATGGAACACTCCCTTAATATGAAAGATTTACTTGTCGATTAAATTATATTCACGTAAATTTTTTTGTGCCTATTAATTTAATTTAATAAATTATTTAAAAAGCGATTTAAAACATCTCACTATTTAAAAAAAATAAATGCATTACAAATGATTTGAATTTGTTATTCTTTTATTTCTCGGCGTCTGTAAAATTATGTGTTTATTAATTTATTTCATATATTTAACAAAAAATCCGACGATAAATAAAAGTAAAATATTACTTAATAATTTATTAATTATAATTTATTAACTATATAATTTATTTTAATAATGTATATTATTGTCTATATATCAATATGAAAGCTTTATTTGTTCGTTAAATTATATTTGTATAAAATCTTTTTGTGCCTATTAATTTATCTAATAAATTATTTAAAAAACTATTTAAAACATCTCACTATTTCGAAAAAAATAAATGCATTATGAGTGATTTGAATTTGTTATATTCCTATTGTTTGGCGTCTGAAATCGTTACTGCAAAATGCATATATATGAAACAAACAAATAAATATAATTAATAAAAATGATATATTAATTAAGTAAATAAAGGATGTCTAATTAAATTATTATTAAAAAGTCGGAATTATATTACACAAAAGGTTGTATAAGATAATAGAATTCTAAATTTAGACGATAGCATAGATGAAGGTTGGGTTTCTCGTTGCTAGAAACGTCCGAAAAATCGGTTTGAGTATTAGGAGTGCACGTTGACCGAGTAGGTCGTTGAAGGTATTCTCGAGATAGGGTGTTACCTTCCCCACTTTGCATCTATTAGGTATAATCCTATTGGTTCTCCTACTCTAACTCACTACGCACTCACTTGCATTGGGTTGCCTCCCCACTTTGCTTCCGCGTATAGACCACGGTGATTGGTCAGCGGACCCCAGCCGGTCCCATATCTGCTGTCCCCTCTATACATACCCCCTAGCACCCTTATTGGTCGACGACTGACACGTGACTTTGTGGGAGTACCTTACTTTCAAACACCTCCACGCTCAATGTGCACTCCTAATACTTAAACTTGATATTCGAACATTTCTGACAACGTGAAACGTAATTTTCACTTATCCTATCTTATTCGAATTGATATTTTTATTAATTTTAATGATTTTTCAAGCATTTTCACGAATACATAATGAAATTTCCGTCATTACTTAATTTTAATTTGATATTAAAATATTTTATTTATTTAATTAATATCACATTTGTTAACTATTTTTGCATCAATATTTTATGTATATCTAAAATACCAATGAAGAAAATAATCAATTAAATTTTAAACCATTCTGTTTGAGAGATATTTATTTTATTTATTCTGTTAAATTCCATTTACGTATTTTTTCAAAAAATATAAAGTTTAATTATTAATTATTAATTATTATATAATTTTTTTAAATAAATATAATTAGAGCAGGAGAAAATTAATCAAAAGAAAATTAAGCAAATTTAGAGAAAATTTAGCAAAAGAAAATTAAGAAGAAAATAAACTAAATTAACAGGAAAAACTAAATTAAATTAAGAAAATTCACGGATATTGCTTTAAAAAAAAACATTTTTTTCAAATATTGCTTAACTCTTTCTGTACATAGAAAGCTATTTGATATAACTATAATAATTCAAATTTCATTTATATAAAAAAAAATCTATCTAATAGTTTTCAAATAAACGATTATATAACTTTGTTTTCTGTTTAATGGACAGTTGAGGATAATTAATGAAAGGATAATTAAGGAAATCATTTTTAACATTCAATCATTATTAGTTTTATTATAATATTATAATTATTGTAATTCTAACTTTTAACATAATTTTCTTGCATCATATTAATACGCTTTGTAGAACTTTGTAGAACTTGAATGTAAATTGATAAACAAATATAAATATCGTCAGAATTTTAGATATGTCAAACTTTTACATTCTTTTACATCGTGCGAGAGATATCGATATGTCGATATACATCGATGGATTAATCAAAGATCTACACCTTCTTGCACTTAAAAAAAGCTTTGATGAATTAACGTCATTATATATATCGGGTCTTCCTCAAAGCTCGCGATTAATATTATGTGTTCCATGTCGCATTTATGTTGATTGTAACGAAGATGTAGAGAAAGAATAATGTGTGATTGTGTTAGTATTTTGTAAATAAAGATATAGTGTGCGAAGATGCAGGAGCAGCAACGTGATGCGAATGCATGCGGTCAGGGTGAATTTTATACTGCTGCCGCGAAATATTGGGACTGCATTCCACCTACGATTGATGGAATGTTAGGCGGCTTCGGATTTATTTCACAGATTGACATAAAGGGTTCTACATTTTTTCTAAAATCTCTTTTTCAGGTGCATGCTTATGGCTATCTAACCTAAGATTTCCGTAAATTTATTTCTTTATTTTTGCATGCTTGACAAAAAATAATTAAAGTGAATTGTAAGATATGCAAAGTTAAATCATTTGACTGAATTTGTGTAATAGAATATTTGATATTTTTATATTCTGGAATTGATTGCAAAATATATAAAAAGAAAAATTTATAATGTATCTCTTTACATTTTCTATGAAATGTTTAATTTTTAGGTCTGTTTCTTATAGTTGAACTAATATACATTTATTATGTTTAAAATAAATATAATAAATAAATATTTCGAAAGCAAGAAAAGAAATTATAGTTCAGAATAACAGATCTTTTATGTTAAAACAAGTTGCATAATATTAGAGGAAATCAAACTGATAATAACTTATAGATTTAAATAAGAAATGTGATAAGTCTGAAAAATTTTGTTTGTTTTAGTTAGAAAATCCACCTTCTAAAGCATTTGCTCTGGATTGCGGTGCTGGTATTGGTAGAATCACAAAAAATTTATTAATAAAGTTTTTTAAACATATAGACCTTGTTGAACAAAACCCAAAATTTCTGGAGGTAGCAAAGATCTCCTTAGAAAATTATTCGTCAAAAATTAATCAATATTATCCCATTGGTAATATATTTGACATAATTGATTGACATCTATGATTGACAATGAGACTTGTAGAATGTATAACAGATGTAAAAATATTCGTTTTTTTTTTTAAGGATTGCAAAACTTCTGCCCTACAACAAACAAATATGATCTTATATGGTGTCAGTGGGTGTTGGGACATTTACAGGATGATGATCTATTAGAATTTTTCAGAAAGTGCGCGTAAGTTTTATTTTCTATTATATATGGAAAACATGAGATATATTGTTTTTTATCTTGCAATTTGGACTTGCAGATTAGGCTTGAAAAATAATGGTGTACTTGTGGTGAAAGAAAATATCACAAGCTCAAATAATTTGGAAGTTGACAAGAAAGACTCTTCTGTAACAAGACCAATGGAAAGCTTACAATTTTTATTTGATAAAGCTGATCTTGTTTGCATTAAGCAACAACAACAGACTAAATTTCCACGTGGCTTATATCCAGTTTATATGTTTGCTTTAAGACCAAAAAATCAATGAACTAGTCAATGATGTGTGAAGTATGAATCAAATTTTTGATTATTTTGTATACTTTTAATAATAAATTAATAAATATATCAATATCTAAATTATTTTAGTTTCATAAAGATGTAATTTTTTTAAGATTGACGACTTAAAAAAGAAAAAATTATTGCGTTATATATGTACAAAAAAAACATTAACTATAGATTCATTTTGTACAAAAATTCTTTTGTTTATAATTACAATAAATACAGATCTGACATTTGATTGCGTTGTATTACTCAAGCAAGTAAAGTCCTATGTAAAAAACTAGTTTACTTTGGCCGTATCTTTTCATACATAAAACGCTGATTTGCATCTTGAGGGGAAGCATTTATGAGTCGTCTTTTCTCAGCGTGAAAATGTTCCAAAGCGAAATTATAAAATTCATTTTCCATCTTCCACACGATCGATTGTTGGATCTTATCTACTGTTTCAGGTAATGGATCGAGCTTTTGCGTAGTTTGTCGTAAATGTGACTTATTATCTAAAATCAAAAAAGCATCGTTGTCTTCTGATATTGTTAACTGTGATAATGTAATAAAAGAAACTTTGTATATTATTTTCAAAGAAAATAAATATTCGCTTTTATAAATACTTACTATGTAAAAAGAAATTGTATGCTCCTTTGAAAAACCTTGGAAGTACATTCTCTAACACTTCTACGAATTCATTTAACTCCTCCGTCACTCCAACCAAGAAATAATGTTTTTGTAAATTCCGTTTAGCTTCTTCTAACGCCCAGCTATTGCCAATCTCCCTGTTGCAAAAAGCAATATCATGATATAAGCATAATAATAGTTATATAATAACAATTATATATTTTAACGTCTCATTAAGAAATATAAAACATAGATAAAAGATTTCTTCTCTCAAAATGTTTTCATTTTAAAATTATGTTGTAAAGAAAAGAAGTTACCAGCAAGCTGGATCATGGCCACATAAAAATGGAATCTGTAGCCACATATTGTTGGGATCACAGTCTGGTTGACCAATACTTATGCATTCGTCAAATGTCTAAATCAAAAATAAGATAATTAGTTAGATAGATATACATCATTTTATTTTTTTTTTATAGAAAAATACACGAACCTTTGTATCTCCATGTTTCTTCCTTATAACATGAGGTCTAAAATTATCTCCATATCTTAAAAAGTAATAATATGATATAAATCTGTCTAAAGGTTTCCTTAATAAATTTATATACAAAGGCATACGTTTCGTACCAAATCTAAAAAAAGACATAATTTAGCATAAAATAAATATAAATTTCACTTTGTGAATAAAATGCAACTTTACCTATACCTACTTTTCAAAATTCAAAAATGCCACGTGTCCATGGTAAAATGCTGGTTTTATAATATTCCAATTTGAAATATTATTTGCAAATTGAACCTATAATATTGATTTATGCGTCATTGTTAGCATAGGAATATGAAGAATACAGGCTATAACTAAATAAAGTTACAGCTGGTATATTTTCCTGGATGATACCTGATTAGCGAAAGTAAGGGTGTGCATATTATTGGTCACATTAATGTGCAGCACATGGTATTTGTTCTGCTTGCAGAGATCGTAAACTAATCCAACGAAACTAGTGGACGCTGTCTTCGGCACTCTGTTGTATATCACAACAATGTCCTCCAGATCATCTTCGCTATTTCCTCGCGCCTCGACGCGTCCGTCATCGTTTCTAGCGTCGATTTGTGCCTGCACGATGGCATCTGGAAAAGACAAGAAATGTCATTATTTCCACATTATTTAGCGTTATAACTGGATACATACGGAGCGATCTGTAGTTCTCTTCCAGCTCGCTCAATTGCAGCCGCAGATAGACTATCACAACGACGAAGATCAGCACCAGAACCCATTGCGTGAATGAGAAATTTCTCAGTATCATCTTAATTCGCCGCTCAAATCATACCTGTGGCTCGCGTTAGCCGTCCGAAGCCAGCTGCATTCGAAGCCGAGTCGCGAGAACTCGAGATGTACACCGAGTGTTCGCGCGGAAGATTTTTCTTCTATTTTCTGAATGCCGGTCTCTTCCTTAAAAAATGCGCTATACAGCGAATGGTCTTTTAGGTTACGAAATCATACGAAAACATACCGCAAACACACCCTCGAAGCAAACCTAATTACAGTTGGCATCCCTGCGACCAGTTTGTCTTCCCGCATAATTATAAAAATAAATTTTTTGAAAACGACGCTTCTTTTATATTTCTATGTATTGGCGATTATTTTACGGGAAATTGGATGATTGAAGTAATGACGTGAAGAATATTAATGTATATATTTTATAATGAACTTTGGGATAAAAAAGGTTCCATTCTGATTTCGCTAGTATACGATTGTGTGATTAACAAATAATTCTTATAAATACATAGATATTCTCGGTAGATCTTCTGTTTTTCTTAGCATAAAATATCACAAATTTCATTATCAACTTATTAAATAATTTATAGATTGACATCTATATGCTAATTAATATCTAAATATTAATTACACAGATTAATTGCGATTTATTCTGATGCACTAGAGCGGCGTTACAATATCGTGCATCGCGTATCTCCATGTCCATGCTCTCGCTACCTCCTCGAATTTCTCACGATCGTTCATATACATCTCTCCCAATTCTGGTTCCATACACACCTACACGCGTAATAATCATATATTACTATAATCCCAATTGATTCTAAAATTATATACTTACTTGGCAGTATGGGTCTGTAAGCAGACTTTGTACACTGATAAGGACTTTAGATATCGTCAACGCTAATGACCAATTATGATGTATCGAGTCTATGCCAACGTCTCCGTGTCTCGACACGTTCGGATGAAGTATTTTTGTTAAAAATCGAACCACAGGTGGACACATGGGATAACTAAGCAATAAGAATAAATATGTATGTGTGTGTGTGTGTGTGTGTGTGTGTGTGTGTGTGTGTGTGTGTGTATCACAATTTGTTATAATATATTAGACATTGATAATATATGTATGTATACAATAATATACAGTTATATTCTTCTGATACCTGAATGGTACTTGTAGATATAAATAAAACAATCCTCCCTCGTATGGACTTCCCACTGGTCCTGTAATAGTGGCTTGCCAATGACAACACATATGATCAAGAGGCATCGCTTCGATACCTTCAGGTGGATCAATCCGTAAGCTCTTGAGTTCACTACGCAGCCTGTTTCTTCGCCAAGAATTTTCTTCCATCCTGGGAGGTCTTGATCGCAGGGAAGTCTGTGCCAAGCAAGTTCGACATGGCGCCGAGGAGGCTAGATAATCATATATTTTATACCAATTCCTGACAAAACTAATTGGTTTATACAGAGGCCAGCGCAATTTCACATGTTGCTTCCACTGTAACTGCGTAACATGCGTCGATAGCAGACCACACCATCGTCGACATACATTTGCTGCTGACCAAAGGCTGATATCATCTAGATGTGAGAAAATAGCAAGTAGTACTTCAGGTGGCAGTCTCTCTACCAGACCTGGCTCGTTGATGGGCTCATGTTCGATATGTTTATGATTTGATAGTATTTCGAGCCGTTCGGATAGATTGTACGATCGCGATGGTTCGCCCACATCTTCGCAAACTTTGTAATTCCAATGATATTGCATAGCATTATTTCCAGGTTCATTGTTCTGACCATCATGGCCTAACGCAAACGTTTCTGGTGTACTCCGTAAATTTTCTTCCATTCTATCCTGTGCGTTTCGATCATTTCTGTTAGCATAGTCTTGATGATAGTCGCTTCTCGTTCGACAGATCATACTCTGGAGGTCGAGATTCGCATCGCATGGCGCTGGCACGTTCCGCGCGAATGCTGTTACACATTTGTCAACGGAATTGCTGTTTGAATTACTCTGAAGCATGTGATAATTGCATTGAGGCGCTGCATTTTGATATTGCGTGTAACATCTACGTGAAACATTCGCATTATGATTGAGTGGATTTTGTTGTATATTTGGGGTATTGACGCTCTGCGGAGAATTCTGCTGTTGTTGACTTGTCCTTCTTTCATGATTATAATATAAGTCAGTTGGCTCGTCATTTCCTGAATCTTCATCATCTGTTTTCTATTTCCATATAAAATAGTTAATAATACTGCCATATTAATAACTGATACTAACAATTTATTAAATTGTGCATAAAAATAATATATTGCCAATAATTTACTCATATATATTATTATAGTACATATAAATAATTTTGCAATATTGTATTTGTGGAATGGAATCATACTTCACTGAAAATTGGCACTTGCAGCAGATCTATATCATTTGGAAATAAAAATGCATGACATGTGGCGCAGACTGGTTCCTCGAAACATGGACCGTAATATCCATTACAAATGTAACATGCTGTTGTCTATAAAAATTAAAAATTTTACATACACATACTTAAAAATCTAATAAAGATATATAATAAAAGATTATGAAGTGATATAATAGTTTAAATTCAATCAATTATTAACAAATATTGTATATCTATTTGTATTTTATTTCCAACAGCTGAGTTATAAGAGTGGTGATTACTTTAATAGATAACCAAGTCATATAATCAAATAAATTCCTCGCAAAGGAAAATGATTTGTGAATAAGAATAGATTGAAATGCGTTCGAAATAATTGTCTTCATTACGAAATTGTACACGATATTTAACTATTATCATGAAATTGCATACTGTCGCAAAACATCGACAAAAATGCAATGACATATTCAAGAAAGACGGAATGCAGAAATCGATTTACCAAGAATTGAAATTCGGGGCAGGGGATATATTCGATTGACTCGACCAAATCGTCCTCCAGATTCAGACTAAGACTCAAGTCACCATTCTCGCTTATTTTTTCACTGTTACCGTTTTGCGTGCAGTCAACAATCTTGTCGCCTGCCATTTTGTAACAATCGTTCGCAATCTGCCGTATGGAATTGTCGCAGTGTCGCCAAGTCGACGAAGTTCAATTTAGTAAGAAAATCACTAGATTTCTCCAAAAGAGATAACTAGAAAAAAATATCACTAAATCTTATTAAAAAAAAGAATTTTATACAAACCCTGTTTGTACCCTATTTAAGCTAATTCAATAATTTTATTATTTAGCACTTAAAGACCAAATTCCAATAATTAACAATTTCGTATCAGTTACAAATATTCATAACAGCAGACTAGGCTGAAATATGTCGTATTGATTATTTATCACAATTCTAATGACAAATCTCGTTAGTCATAGCAAACTTCTATGCTATAATTTCTCTCGCGTTTTTTAGAAACTGATTAATTTGTAGAGGCCCTCCACCACCCTCGCCAATTTCACTTCTTGGCAATCCTCTTTTCTTTATATGTATATTTAAAATTTTTTATTATAACATATTTATTTTTTTTATATAATATAAAAAAAATTTACAGTATAAAATATAATTCAATAATATTAAAAAAAAATACAATATAAATACAAAAGTTTAATACAAAAGAAAGAAACATCATAATACAATACAATAATATAATACATCATAATACAACATAATATATTATAATATAATACAATAATATAATTTGTATTGTTTGGTAACAAAAATTATTGTTCAGTTAGAATATTTATCGAATATCTATCGAATAAATTTGTGAAGGCCCACCACCACTCCTACCAATTGTAATTGGCGGTTCTCTTTTTTGCATACATATTTTAATTTATTTTAATATTTATTAATTATATACAATTAACAATTTTGGTACCAAACAATACAATACAAAGTTATACATTTTTAATGCATTATTTACAATTAAAGAAATCGATACAATAAACCAAGAATATATTTAAAGAACAGAATATAATAAAGATTTATATATATATATATATATATATATATATATATATATATATATATACTAACGTAAAGTTAAA